TTTAAAAACATCCCCAAATCAATGATAAAGGTGGAAGCGGAGTGGGTATTTCTTCGTGTCTAAGGAAGGAAAACTTTGTAGACGCCTATAGATGTATAAGGTAATGAAAGAATATCCACTTCAATGGACTGTTTCCATTAGCTCCATGCCCAGAATGCCAGAATGCTCATTTCTCTGGCTTAGGAGAAACGAGGAATTGCTCCTAAGAGATTTCCTTCATTCGAATCAGCATGCTTTGCCTTGCAACAAGTGGAAGCCATTTTGAAAAAACAAACAAACAAACGAACAAACAAACAAACAAAAAAGGATGGCAAGAGAGGAAGCAGACAATCAGACCACGAGGTATATTCAAATCCTGCGTTCATGTGGATAGCATCAGAGGAATAAGAATTGCAACATTTTAATTTAAGCATTGTCAACAATCTTAAACCCATGACCACGAATCTTGGGGAGAAAACATGCACACATCTGCCTTCGTCCAGAGAAAGGCATCATTAATTCATTCACTTGCAATCACGCAACCACTCATCCATTTATTAAATATGGAGTACCTCCTCTAGAGTAGACACCGTTCTAGGAGCTGAGGATGTAGGAGAGAACCCCCTGTGAGAAATACTTAAGTTACTCCATCTATTGGAAAGCGCCTTGGGCACCAAGGTGAGAGACGATTGGTTCCGTGCTTTTACTTCTTACTCTCTTAAAGGAGTAAGAAATTTAGGGCAGTGGGTCCCTAACTATGGTGAGAGCACAGCCTGGTCCCCACAATCTGTTGCAGATTGATACTTTTATAAAATACAACAGATATCGATTAATAATTTTTTTTTAACCACAAAGATATACAAAACACAAATCCCAATTGTTTTTGTTATTAGTTTCGACAGGCAATGGCAAATTCCTTTAAAAGGAGTGGGCGGGGGGTGTCTAAATGCTTCCTCTCCAATTCTGTACGTCTCACTGCAGACTGGTAACAAATAGCTTGCAGACAAGCATACTCCTCAGGCTACGTTCTGAGTAGAACTCATTTGGACACCGGACTCCAGGGTCAGTTGCCTGAGTTTGAATTATAGTTCTAGTACTTGCTAGCTATGTGACCGTGGGCAAGTTATTTAATTTCACCATGTCTGTTTCCTCCCCATAATAAAAGCACCACCCTCGCAAAGCTGTTGCCAATTCATGTAAGACACAAGCCAATACATACAAACCATCGGAATAGTGTCTGGCTCGTGGTTAATGCTATTGAAAGTGTCAGCTGCTCTCATTACTACTATCTACTATTATGAATGCAACTGTTACTGTTATTACTACCAGTACTTTGCTGCTGTATAATTTGGGCCAATACTTGCACAGCTGTGTGTTTACTTGCACACCTAGAAGATGGTGTCTGTCAACTCCTCCTTCCTATTTCCTTCCCTTCTGTGAATTCTGTGACAGTGAAAGTATGGATTCAAAAAGCACGTCATCACCCATGGAAATGCCCCCTCGTAACAGACTGGCTACACTGCCCAGATGCCATTTCAGAGCAGTAGGGACACAGGTCCTGGGGTTCTGGGCATGTTTGTTCATCAAACAAATGAAATCAGTCCTGACACAGCTGTCCTTCCACACCGCCCCTGGGGAATTGGGCTGGGCCACTGCTGTGGAACACTGGGAGCGGCCTCAGGGCACAGGTGCAGTCCTTTTCTTGTGGGAAACCAAAGGACAGTCAAGCAGAGGGAGTGACTATAAAAGACATTTTTAAACTGCGAGTAATTGACTACTTAACCCACCCGCATCTTGTACGCCTATGTGTATTTCTCCAAGCTCCCTTCTTAACGGTTGTTTTGGATTCTCAGCAAAAATGTTTGAGAATTATTTATTTTGCTTCAGATTAGTCACTTACAATTAGCTGGGAATGAAAATGTCAAGGTGACACAGAAACACATTTAAGGAACACTGAAACTTGACCATGGAAACTTATGTCCGAAAGCAATTTACAATGATTATAAAAGCGAGAGGATGTCTCAAGATGGGAAAGGAAAATAACCATCTCATTTACTTTTTAAATCTCATTACTCTGAGAATATTAAACAAATTTATTGATATGGCCTAACTAATTTGGATTCTTAGAAAATAAAATTTTTATGAAGAAAAGAAAGGGCAACAAGATAACTAAATAAGAGAGCAGGTGTTTGGGGCTCTGACAACAAATTTGGAGATTAGTTAGTTGAATGATCTTAGTTTAAAGATTTACTCACATAAATAGAATTCTATCTGGACTCGGGTGAAGGCGGAGTTCTCATCTTGCCTCAGAATGGAGTAATCGATTTAAAAAACAAGAGCCACACTAACACTATGGCTGGTGACAGGGTTGGGCGTGATTTAATAAGACAGCGGTAGACTCCCCGAGATGTCATTGAGCCGCAAAGTGAGGCCCTGACATGGCCCAGCCTGTAGTCAACCAGTTACGAGTTTTAATGTGTTTCTGCTACTCAAGCTGAAAATTATTATGTACAATAAGCCAGCCTCTTTAGTACACAGATCCTCTCTGTAGTACGTTGTTGCCTTTGTGTTCTTTTAAATTCAGTACACCAAAGCATATTAAAATTGCTCTGTGCTGTACAGACTGACGCTGCAGGGACATAAATACTGGATGCTTTTCTGAAGGAGAGGAAGCTCATGATATGGTCAGCCAGAAGCTAGAGAAAGACAGGGTTTTGTCACTCTCTGTCTCTCGTCTTCCCACTGTGACTCTGCAATTATTTCTGACTCTCCAAACTTATCCAACTGTGTCTATCCATCCATCCATCTATCCGTGCATGTATGCACTTGTTCCATAAATTATGTATCGAGCCCCTTCGGCTGCCTGGTCCCGTACTATGCTTTTGGAACTTACGTTCTATTAGGAAAAGACAAAATAAACAAGTTGGAAAATCAATGAACTAATAATTATGGTAGTTGTGTGAAGATGAAAAAAAAATCAAAGTGTTAAAACAGCGACTAACTGAGGAGATCTATTCAGGATCTTGAGACAAAAAGAGAACTCCAGGCAGATGGTCGAAGGAAGAAACATTGATGAAGAGATGAATTACCGAGGTATGGGCAGTGCTGAAAGAAGAAAGGAGGGCTGGTGGGGCACCCAGAGTCTAATAGCAGAAAGTTTGTCATTAAGGGACAAAGAGAAGAAATGGTGTTACCAGAGCCCAGTGAGAGCTGCAGCTATGGAATGGGTGTCACCTGACAGGACCCCTGGATATGAGGGATGCCCCCGTGGCCAGAACAATGATCCAAAGTGGAGAGGAAGGAGATAAGAAACAACCTTAATCTCTCTCTTCTCTTTCTTCTTCCAATCTGCTGCTAGTGCTTCCTATTGGCCAAACCAGATCTTAAGTCACCTGGGAAGGGAGCTTTGGTGATAAGAGTCCATGGAGTTCAGTTTCAGTGTTGGCACGGATTGGGGTGTCAGAGGGAGGGAAGAATGTAAAATAACCAGGGAAGGGGACCTACTCGGGTAGGACAGTCAGGAAAAGCTGCCCTGCGGAGGTAACATCTGAACTGAGACTCTGAGAGAACAAGGTCCCAGCCATGCAAAGAGCCAGCGGAAGAGTAATCCAGTAGGGGCAGAAGTGAGCACATGCCTTTGCCGTTGTCCCTTCTCTGCTTCCACACTTAGTAGAGATCCCTCACAAGGAATGTATCTGACACAGACCCAGATGATCTGAATGTACCCTTTCGTAGGTGTGATGCTATTACTCAAGTTCTGGGAGAAGCAAATGCCTCTATTCTATTTTCTCAATACCACCAACGAGTTTTCTCATGGAAAAGAATGCTCATGGTGGCGCCTGGGTGGCTTAGTTAGCTAAGCGCCTGACTCCTGATTTCGGCTCAGGTCAAGATCTCATGGTTTGGGAGTCCAAGCCCTGCACTGGGCTCTGCGCTGACAACATGGAGTCTGCTTGGGATTCTCTGTCTCCTGTCTCTCTCTCTTTCTCTCTGACCCTACCCTGCGCGCGCTCTCTCTCTCTCTCTCTCTCTCTCTCTCTCAAAAATAAATAAATAAACATTAAAAAAAGAATACTCATAACTCGAACATTTGCCTACGAAAAGTCCAGGATTTCTATTAATTCTGATGTGCAAAGAAGGAAAAACCAAGGAACACATATATAAAGGCAGGTAAGGGCGAGCCACTGTAGCAGCTGTAACTCCTTTCCATTTATACACCTTTTCTTTGAAAGAACTCAAGCCTTCCACACTCTGAGATATCCTTGTTTTGTGCAACTTATTAAAAAATATGCCATCGTGCCCATCATTCTCTCAAATAAACACTATAAAAATACAATAACCATGTAATAATAGTTAATGTACATATATGAGTTAAACTCATACTAATACTCTTTTGGTTTTACATTTACCTTCAAGTCACTGGCTACAATGGATATACGCCGGAAGCCTATAAATCCAAATACTGGCAAATTATTTTCTGTTGCCTAGAAACCATTTCTTTTTATAGTCTATGTAAAATTTCCGGTATTAACAGGATCATGTGAATTAAATGATCTGCCTTTTAAAAGTCAGTTTGCTGGTGGGTTCAAATTCACTGTGAGCTAGCCAAGCTCACAGTAGGTCTGCCCTGAAATGGCACACAGGGTTTCCTGTTGGTGGTTGAGGTTAGGCATGGTAATTTCCTCTCCTTAAGTCCTGCATACTCCTGACACATTCACCAGTGGAAAAAGAATTCCTCTCAAGGACAAGTTCCAGGAAAATAATGAGGAACTGCTTGCATATTAATGAGATTCACCACCTTCCATATTCAAAGCCACCCACTTTTTTCTTATATAAGATCTTAAGGAATTTCCATTATCTCCCCATTAGTTTTAAATTCCCCTAGTGCCTGTCTAATTTATTTCCTCTTATTTTGTCTCTGATGAATATGGAAACAGATGGTAATTCTTCTTCTTTTTGTAATTTGTGTCTCCTGCCAATTCCATGAAAACTACTGATGAAAACAGTGAGTATATTATCACCTGTAGGAGAGGCCGTTGTACCCCCATCACCTTCATGGTGTCCGCATTAGCTAGGATCTTCAAGGGGTCAGATGTTTTAGTGACTCCTTCAATCTCCTTGTTGATCTCTGCCAGGACCTGGTTCAGGAAGATGTTTTTGATGTACACAGTGAGAAAGTCTCGAAGAGGACACTGCTTGGCTGGGCCGAGTCCCAGGGCATGCTCGATCTCTTGAATAAATCTGGAAGACAACAGAAGAAAATGGTCGTTAAATATATCAGAAAAATAGTTCTAGAAATATCATAAAACACATATGGGTATTTCTAGGCTTTGGCATGTCTTTCTATGGAGAGATGAGGGGGAATTCCCAGAATTCTTAACAAGAACATGTCATTACTTTGTTGTTTGTCTCTATAAGAGTTCTTTTTATTTTTCTAAGTTATTATTTCACTAATTGAATAGAAATAGGACAAAATAGAACACATGACTGCTAAACTGAAAGGGGAAAAAAGGGGTAACACCAAAACCCATCTGTATTATTTCAAGAAGGAAATAAGAATACAAAAAGCAAAGGCAGGCATGATGAACAGAAAATTACAGTGAAAATTTAAAAGCACACCCCCAAATACTCCATATTTCTCACAGAGATCTTTATATGTGTAGATAGAAATGTGTTTGTTTTTTTTTTTTTTTTTAAGGGAGATTTGCATTTCCCTGATGATTAGTGATGTTGAGCATCTTTTCATGTGTCTGTTGGTTATCTGCATGTGTTCTTTTTTTTTTTTTTTCAACGTTTATTTATTTTTGGGACAGAGAGAGAGACAGAGCATGAACAGGCGAGGGGCAGAGAGAGAGGGAGACACAGAATCGGAAACAGGCTCCAGGCTCTGAGCCATCAGCCCAGAGCCCGACGCGGGGCTCGAACTCACGGACCGCGAGATCGTGACCTGGCTGAAGTCGGACGCTTAACCGACTGTGCCACCCAGGCGCCCCTATCTGCATGTGTTCTTTAGAGACATGTCTATTCAGGTCATCTGCCCATTTAATAGGATTATTTGGTGGTGTTTTTTGTTTTTGGTTTTTTTTTTTTTTGGTGCTGAGTTACATAAGTTCTTAATATATTTTGGATACTAACCCTTTATCAGATATATCATGTGCAAATATCTTCTCCCATTCGGTAGATTGTCTTTTTGTTTTCCTGATGGTTTCCTTTGTTGTGCAAAAGCTTTTTATTTTGATACGATCCCAATAGTCTATTTTTGCTTTTGTTTACCTTGCCTCAGGAGGCATATCTAGAAATTATGGCTATTGCTGATGTCAGAGGAATTACTGTCTGTGTTCTCTTTTAGGGTTTTTATGGTTTCGGGTCTCACATTTAGGTCTTTAATCTATTTTGAATTTATTTTTGTGTATGGTATTAGACAGTAGTCCAATTTCATTCTTTTACATGAAGCCACAATGAGATATCACCTTACACCTGTCAGAATAGCTAAAATCAAGAAGAAAAGAAACAACAAGTATTGGTGAGGATGTGGAGAAAAAGGAACCCTTGTGCAGTGCTGGTGGGAATGTAAATTGTACAGCCACTCTGGAAAACAGTAAGAAATTTCCTCACAAAATTAAAAAAAAAAAACAAACCAACCATATGATGTAATAATCCCCCTACAGGATATTTACCCAGGGAAAACAAAAGCACGAACTCAAAAAGATACATGCACCCCTATGTTTACTGCAGCATTATTTACAATAGTCAAGACATGGAAGCAACCTAAGTGTCCATCAATAGATGAATGGATAAAGAAAATGTGAGATGTATGTGTGTGTATAACATATACATATACAAACATACATATACACATATATATATGACCATATATATACCACACACACACGTGCATGCGCGCGCGCGCACACACACACACACACACACACACACACACACACACACACACTGGGATATTACACAGCCATTAAAAAAGGATGAGATCGTGCCATTTGAGACAACATGCATGGACCCATTACATTAAGTAAAATAAGTCAGACTGAGAAAGACAAATACCCTATGATCCACTTGTAAATGGAATCTAAAAAGGATGAATAAACAAACAAAAAGCGGAATCCACACTATAAATACAGAGAACAAATTGATGGTTGCTGGGAGTGGGATGGGGGAGACTGGGCAAAATAAGGGAAGGGCAAGGAGATACAGTCCTCTGGGTATGGTATGAGTAAGTCACAGGATTAAAAAGCAGAGCATAAGGAATATAGTCAGTGATATCACCATAGTGATGTAATAGGACAGGTGGAAGCTGTATTCATGGTGAACACCACATAATGTACAAACTTGTCAAAATCATTAAGTTGTACACCTGAAACTAATGTAACATTGTGTGTTAACACTCAAAAAAAAAAAAAAGGTGGGGGGAGGGAGAATGAATGGTATTCTTTTACTTCATGATGGTAAGTTGGGAGGTTATGAAAGGGAACAGGAAGGGAGGTGTGGACAAAAGAGTACTTCAACCTTATTTGTAATGATCTGTTCCCTTTATTAAAAACACTTCAAACAAAGGGGCGCCTGGATGGCTCAGTCAGTTGAGTGTCCTACTCTTGATTTTGGCACCAACATTATGGGATCAAGCCCCGTGCTGGGCTCTGTGCTGAGTATGGAGCCCGCTTAAGATTCTCTCTCCCCTACTGCCCCTCTCCCCTGCTCGTACTTCCTTTCTCTCTCTCAAATAAAAAAAATACATAAAACAAAGATAGAATGTTAGTAACTGTCCAAACTCACAGATGAGTATGCAGACATTTGTTAGGTTATTCTTTGTACCTGCTTTGCATGGTTTTGATATGCAAAAATTTAAGTTATTACCACCCAGTTAGTAACACCAGTCCCCCAGAAAACAAGGTTTAAATTCCAGTTACTACAGTAGATTAACTGTGAGTAATGGCATAAAATGAAAACTTTGCTGCTACCTCTTCAGTCCAGAAATCTCTGTGTAAACAATTGATGTTCACCATGATCAATGGATCAGTCTATCAGTGACTGATAACTGCACATCTGCCACTCATGTTCGGGTGACAAAGCGTGTACTTGTGTTGTCTCCTTGTCTCCCAGTGATAAACTCATGCGATATTTTACAAAAATGGATAATTAAAAGAGGGAATTGGCCAAAAAAGACAGACGTACAGAAAAAACAAAAAACAAAACGAACAGTGGTAACACTGAGAGTGGAATTTGGATGGAATGTAAAGGGATTTACAGAAGAAACAGCTAGGAATGTTGACATCGCCTCCATCTGAGAAAGAAACACAACCAGAGGGAAGGAGAATTTATTCACCTCACCAGGGAGAAAGCCTTTGCGGCAAAAGGGGTGAAAACATCCCGGAGGAAGTGCTGTGGCCCCAACTGCATGGTAAAGGAGCTCTTGAAGATGTTTCATGACATTGAAAAGCAAAAAATAAAATGCTGGCAGATCCAGACTTAAAGGAGGTATGACATTTCCCCAACACCTACAAAAGGTGCTCACTGTGTATCGTAAAGCACAGGATGAAAAGAAGGTGTTCAAAGTACTCTGATAGGATTTTAACGAAGAAATGAAATACTAATATGAAAACATATTAGTTTTCTTATTTTTTTTTTTCATTTTTGGACAAATTTATAACCGTCAGCAAGGGACTTTTTCATGCTTTGGCAAAAACTTCCTAAAGTCGAGAAAGAATTGTGATTTACCCCATTGACTAAGATTGCTTTGCATGGTGATTTTTACAGTTCTACAATGTTATGCAAAGCAAGGACTGTGTTGTATTTTAAATTTTCTTCCAAAAAAAAAAATGTAGAGGGAGATGAAGTGAAATCAAATCAAATGAAATAAAGACAAAAACTGAATGATTAACTGGGAAGATATATTTGCAACTTCTATCACAGATGAGTCAGGAAAAAAAAAAAAACAACTTAGTGCAAAAATGACCAAAGGACAGGAAAAGACGGTTTACGGTAAAAAGGAATACAGTGGCCACTAAACATAAGAAAAAATTCTTAACTTTGTTCCTAATGAAAAAAATGAGAAGTAAACTATACTGAGGTGCCATTTTTTATAACCATGCATTGATCAAATCCCCAAAATTTGAAAACGTGCTCTTTTGGCGTATGTGTGGGAAAGAGGCATTCTCACGTATTGTTGATGGGAATGAAAAATGGTGCAACCCTCACGAAGGGCAAGTTGGAATCATCACTCAAAATTACAAATGCACTTCCTTTTGACCCAGAAATCCCACTTCTGGGAAATTCTTCTGACAGCTATTTCTAAATATGATTACACAGATCAGTGTAGCATTGTTTTTACAGCAAAGGACAAAAGAATCCATCATTTAGGGATTAATCAAATAAACTATGGTGTATCTACAGTAACCTCAACCCCCAAACGTGGAAGCTTCTGATGCACTAACGTGAAAAGATTTCCAAGATAAATTGTTCAGTGAGAAACGCACGCTGCAGATCAATATGTATTTAGTAGTATTCATTACAACGACCTTTCTGTAAAAATTATATACCCTCCTTTGTTTATTTTATGATAAAGACATCCTGACAGGACTCACAAAGGTCTAATCCAAGTGAGTACCTGTAGGAAGCAGGGGACGAGTGGGGTCTGCAAGAGGAGTGGAAATAAGACTTTTTTTCAATGGTAACTTTTAATAATTGCTTGATTTTTTTAAAGATCAAACCGGCTTTATTCAACAATTTATGAATCAGCATCCCATCTAGTAAATAGGAAAGAGCGCTTACAATCATCGGATTTTTAAAGACCATGAATGTATTACTCAAATAAAATTAAATTAGAAAATTAAAAAGAAATTACCTACATATACCAAAGACTGTACTTCATAAGTGGCTTTCTAATTAGGCCACATGTGAAGTTTGGTGGGGGCGCCTGGGTGGCTCAGTTGGTTAAGCGTCCAACTTTTGCTCAGGTCAAGATCACATGGTTCATGAGTTCGAGCCCCCTGACAGGCTCTATGCTGACAGCTCAGAGCCTGAAGCCTCCTTTGGATTCTGTGTCTCCCTCTCTCTGTCCCTCCCCCTTCTGCGCTTTGCCTCTCTCTCTCTCTCTCTCTCTCTCTCTCTCTCTCTCTCTCTTTAAAAAAGAATTAAACATTAAAAAATAATAAAGAAAAAAAGTTTGGTGTAGAAATGTTCAGTTTAGCTGTGTGACCTAATAAAGGGTTTCCTTTACTTAATACATA